GCTTCCATACTGGTAGTATGGTGGTATCAGAATTAAAATAGTCCTACGAAGTGGTTTGCCTCTTTGTTAAGATAGCTGCGGACGACAAAGCCAGAATAAACAGCTCTGGCTGTAATTGCTCACGAAATTCCATTGGTCAAAGGACTTCACAAAGTATCTGTCACCGAATAAATCAAGGTCCATTTTTATTGAGGTAATGGCCGTGATGTAATTATGTTATCAATCACATACGCTGAGCAGGTTGGACAGGTCGGGGAGGGGACGCTTTGCCAAGTTGGATGCGAGACTGTTTTGGTCCCTTGCAAATACTTCACACATTTCTCACAGAAAGGCTCAGTGACGGGTTCTGTCAGAAAAACTCAGCCGTGTTTCAAAGTCTGTCTCCGTTTTGTGGACAATATGTGGACATTTGGCAGAGCTTTTGTTGCAGTTGTGCCACTTTTTTATGGTTAGTGGAAACAGAAGACAGGGAGGAGAGAGCTGCAGACACACTGCCTCGCTGCTGCACATTCACATAACTCAGAGGCTATAAAACACTTTGAAACCCCTCAGGGTGAAAAACATACTAACAAAGTTAAGAATATAAAAAGACCAGTGAAACTCTTATAAATTGTATTTTCTGGAGCTGAAAAAAGTGATTGTGTGTGTCAGTATCCATAGAACGTACAGGTAAAGATAACACTGAACAAATGTATTAGAGTTTCGAGTGACACTCTTCTTCTTTTCAGTCATCATGATAACAAAGATCAATTAAATGAGAAGCTCTGACTCTGAATTGCAAGAATGTGCAAAGTTAACACCTGCACAACGGCAACAAGAGGCCCATCCATTTTAAACAATAAAAGTAATTATAATACGAGTCCATAAAGCAAAGGAAAACGTATCTCTTCCAATGATTTTGGAGTTTGTTGAAGATATCAACTTTCAAATTAGTCTACATTTATTAAAAAATGTTTAAGAAAGCACTGAAAGTAATATCTCTATTTGCCGAGGAGTTCATGTTTATTGTTAGTTTTAATTTATTAAAAAAGAAGGAGATGTGAATAGACAAATTAGACTGTTGTGGAGTAGGAATAAAACATTTTTTGGCACTTAGATAGAATCCAACTGCCATTCACTTTATCAGGGGCAGTTAAATCATCTGTAGCATAAAAAAACTGGCCAACTAGGAATGGTGTGTGTGCTTGAGAGGTGTGGGCTTAGAATGTTTTCTTGGCTTTACAGGATAATCCCTTGATAAATAAATAGATAAGATTCACTGCTGCTATCTGTAAGCTCATACTCCCCAGGAGACGTGGTGGTCTGGGTCTTGACTGCAGATTAGAAATGCTTCCTTGATTTGCTAATAAATTGCGAGCTGACCAACTCACTTTTGCTGCAGCTAAATTAGTCGATGCAGTTTGGTCAAAAAAAGAAAATGGCCGCAGCATATAAAGTCATATAAATAAAGGTTAAAAATATATCCTTTTGAATAATTTTAAGAAGTTTAAATGTGATAATATAATAGTATGGAACACACATGATGCAGCAGTATGGAACCACCAGAGACTAAGAATATATTTTTTTGTGTGTTTGAGGCAAATACAATCAGCTTTGATATGATCACATAACTATTTTTTATATTTGCACACTGTCCTATTAACGGAACCACTTGGGACCGTTGACCTTGCGTTGTCCTTGGCCAATCCAATAAGGAATGCTCTACAAAGTATCTGAAACTGTGAAGGTGCAACAAGGGCAAACAGGTGGTCACACATACACATTCAAGACCAGGCACTCGAGCTGTGCTCAAATGGCTTTTTCGTTCTCACGCTATCATGTGGTCAGGAGATAATTGATTTATGGCGATGTCCTCGCTGATGGCGTTATTTAATCTGTCTTTTGATTGGCCCTCAGGGTTATGCAGTCACAGGATCCAACCTTTAAGAGGACATCTCCATTTCTCAAGAGAGCCTGTGGCGAAGACACTGTTTATTTTTCCATTGATGACTTTGTGGTCCATTTACACGATTGTATATTTTGTTAGGCGCAAGAATAATTTGTGTCGACGTTGTTGTTTTGAAACGCTGCAATCTCTGAGGGCTTCTTCAAAAGTAGTGCATTCTTGAACCCTTTCCCTCTTGTATTTGTTATATAATAGTGCAAACAGAACTGTGAGTGACCTCCTCTCTGTGTTCATATTTTACAAAAAGTTTACATTTTGTTCTTGAACAGTCGCTAATCTTTTGGTACTTCTTTTTCCTCCAGCTTTTTAAATATTCAGCAAAAATAACACATGGCTCTGCAGAATAATCCAACCTGATTGCATTTGCAACATTTCCTAATTAGTCCCCCACACCAGTCTGATCTCAAACTTTCAAATCTGTTGTTGTTGTGGTTTCAAACTTGTCTGGGTCTGCTCAGCCTCACACACCTGCTGGTTGCAGTCTGTCAACTGTTCTACTTTATAACAAACACACACACACTCTCTCTCTCTCTCTTCCATGCACAGAAAGTTGCAGACCTCCCAAATGCTGTCTACATATGGTGTCATGGTACTTTATTTTCTCTAAAATATGTATCTGTTTTATTCCCAGCGGTGTACTTTGTAGAGATTTATATTTGTTAAATAAGGAAGAGGCCAGTGGTTTAACACATGTCATATTAACTATGGAGTCCCTGTTTCCTGCATTAAATAGAACCTACAGTATTTTCTAATGTTTTTTATCCATCTATCTATCGATCTACTGTATCTGTCTGTCTGTCTGTTTTTGCAGCCCCTCTGGTAGGTGTTGGTACTGCACTAAAGCTGTGTATCTAAGGCCTAGTTTTCATAGAAAATCTGTTTTTTCTTCCTATTCAATTACAAATTTTTACCTGCTCCTAATCAGTTATAATGCTAAACCATACAAGTATTCACAATATGTATCTCCACACTGTGAATATGTGTCTCAACCCATCATTGTGTGCAGGAGCAAATGACAACAACAGTAGTTTTATGCACACATTTCCCAGCACCTGTTGCATTTGCTGCATTGATGGGCTGCATGAACGGAATAGCTGCAGTGTCCTGTCTTTTCTCACCTCTATCATGGTCTGTGTCCATCTGTGTGTGTACGGCAATGTGCATGTGTGGCTGGAAGCTGCTCGACCACATGTGAGCGTGTTTTATGGGTCTACAGGGGGCTAAGGTTAATGCAATAAAACAACCTCTCCTCGTGCCCAGTGTCTGCCCCAAGAGATAATTTAAAACCAGAAAGTCGTAAAAAATATAATAAAATATGAGAGCAGAAGCGTGAAGAGTGATGTGTAAACAGTGCACTGAAGGAGAAAAAAATGTTCTGGTAGTTAGTATTGCTGCCATAAAACATCAGTTTTGCTCCTGCAACCCCTGTTCAGGAACAGTTGACTTGAATGAAAACCTCCATTCAATCTCAGTTTATGAAGCACATGAAATGACTGATGCTGCCTCGCTCTGGAGGAACAAAGCATCTGAAGCTGGCAGGGGTGAAACATTTTAGCTGCTTCAAGAGTCGCTCAGACAAATGTCTTCCAGCATGTGGACACACCACTTTAACCATGCTCTTCCCACTTCCTTACCAAATTGAGCTGTATGTGTTTGTGTTTTTCAGCTCTTCACCAACCAGCCAGACACTGGTTTAGCTTTGGCTTTTGGTCAACAGCAGGGCGAAGTTGCACAATTTTCCATCAGTCATTGTACTCTGTATATACTCTGTGTACATAAGTAAAGCATTCACTATTTCCTTTGCTTAATTTATTCATATTTGTCAGGCACAAAAAAACAATATACAGTTGGTATCTGCAACACACTCCCCACATTGGTACAGAGGCAACCATGGAGTTCCTGGAAAAAGACGTCACCTTCTCAAAAAAGACATATCACATAGCCCAGTAATTACCAACTGTCGGCCCGCGGGCCAAATCCAGCCCACCGAGCAATCCAATCCACACATAGAGAGACATACTATTGGAGACTAGACTGTCCAATTAACCTATAACCTATTAACCAGGGTATTCATGCAACATTGCAGGGAGTGGAGGTCATAGGTTAAAAGACATACACACCAACATTTCTATGGAGACTTAAATATATTTACAAAGAGTTATATGTACAGTATAAAGTTTCACACATGGTAATGTGTAATGAGCTTCCTAGGATTGAGTCCTGCATAAATGCTCATATTTTGCAGGCACCATTTTCATATTTAAGTGAGTTTGTCATTAATAATGGTGAACCAGTTAATGAGCTTCTAAGCTTTTAGAGCCCCAACAGAGGTGACATGGACATCTATACATTTAATAATAATATATCGTCAATTATCAAATATTTTTACGAGTGTGTAAAGTGTCCTTAACCAGGAGAACCTTCTACAGTATGCTCGTAGCTCACTGTCAGGACTCACTCCAGCATTCAGGAGCTGTTCCACTCTGTCTTAATCTTTCCAGTTAATTGAGGACCACTTAACAATGCTGCACAGATGCTTTTAAGCCAATGAGATCTCATTGATTTTACTTCCTCTGAGGTACACGCCCTTTATTTTCATGACCCTGCTGTCTCCTCCTCCTCGCTGCTGGCTTTAATAGCCCACTGGAGATATCCGCCAGCGCTGCCAACTGTGTGCATAAGCATTCATCTTCATGAGGTAGTGGAATGTGCTACATTCACTGTCAGCCCTTCTAGCAATAACTCACTCATCACACCGTTTTCTTTCATCACATCCTTCACTTAACACCCACTCTTTTCCCATGTTCCTCTGCCCGTTACTCTCTACTTCTAATTTCTATGATTACATTCACTTTTCCCCGTCCAACAGTCCTTCCTTCTTCATTTAAAACTCTGAAGAATGTTCTCTTTGAAAACTTTACGAGCTCCTTTTGCGTTCAGCTGCAAGCCTGTGTTGTTTTTTTTTTCTTTCACCCAGACGCCCCACCCTTTCTTTTATAAGTTTTCACATCCTAACAGGTGTGTTCATGTGTGTTTTCTCTATTATCTCCTGCAGGTGGACAAGGTGTGTGGCCTTTCTACCGGGGAACCTACAAGTCCAGAGGTCACGACTTCGACGGTGACCTGGTCATCTCCTTTCCCATCAGCACCGACCCCCCAGCCCCTACCCGAACAGTGGCTCAGCCAACTGGCCCACCTGAGGAAGTAAGATGAAATGAACTTGAATTAACTTGTTTGTATTTACAGGAAGAAGAGCATTTAAAAACAAACAAAAAAAAAAAACACATTAAAGCTGAAACTCAATGGTCAGGTCTGTATGAAGTAGCCACAGTGGGCTGGTATGTGTACTCACAGCTGCCATCACTTCTCACTTTCTTCATATGTCTAGCAGGGCCAATCACACATCAACCACACATACACAGTGCATGTAGTGTCTGGCACTTAAGTCCATGCCCTCCACCTGGCCTCTGATGCAACCACCCTCACATCCACAGCAGCAGCTGGCAGCTTCGTGCCAGATTAGAGGCACAGGGGTGTGGATTAATCTTTATGCAGCAACAACTTCCTGTTTACCCAGACGGCCTGCACCACAAACTCTGCACAGCGGGACCGGGCCTAAAGTAGCACCACACATGAAAACACCCCCTTGACCAGGCACACCTCCTCAGCCTGACCTTGGCCCGAACCATGAATGGCTTCACCAATGCCAGTCTAGCTGACAGATCTGCCCTGGTGATGCCAGCACCATTCATAGAGAGAATATATCTCCCTGTTTGCTGCCAACCCTGACCAGAGCACATGTGACCACATCAGAGACATCATAGAGTCCACTGAAGTGAAACGGAACAAAAATTAACTTTGCATTGTAGAGCAACAATGATGTTTCATTTGATCATATTCATAAACCAGTTCTTCTTCTTTTAATGTGGTTTCAGGGAAAATGATTGTTTTTTTTTCTTTTTGTTTGGATGTGGTAATTCTTTGCATGTGCATGATTAATCACTTTCTTCCAGGGTCAACTGACTGGTCTTTTCTCCCCATGTGTCCTTTGTTGTCATGTCTTTTGTTTTGTTTTGTTTTTTTGTCTCACCCCCCGTCCCCACTTTCACATCCGTGCATCCTCCTTGCTTGCAACAATCTCCCCTGGACACCACTCTCATCATTCCCAGCTCGTTCCCCCTGAAACCCTCCAAGAACAATAAACATAGTCTGAGAACACTCTCTAGGTAAGCATGAACCTGAATTATGTCTCTCACATCAATAAAAAAAAAAACAGTCTTAGAACGTACTGTGACTTACATAGAAGTGTGTGACTTTTTTTTTTTACCTAATTTTGATGACTAATATTTTTGGGTTAGGAAAAATCAAAACATGACCACACTGACCTCAGCACATGGTAAAAGCCCTACTGCCCTACAGGCACAGAGGCGTCTTGCTAAGCATCCAGTGCACGTTGATTTACTTACATACAAAAGGGAGGTAGTCTGCTTATAAGCAGGAAGTGAATGAAAACATGTTTGATCGTGATAATGCCTGCCTATTACCGAGATTCAAGTCAATTTTTTAAAGTTTTAAAAAATTTAAAATTATATGGTGGCAAAACAAACAAACAAAAAAAAAAACAACATTAAAAAAGTAAAGTTCCATCTTTGTGATGCAGTGTTTTTAAACTTTCTTAGAGCTCAGCACTTAAAGACTTGATGTATGGATGTGTCTAAAGCTTTTCTTTTTCTCTATCTTCCCTTTGTGACTTGTTAATTACTCCATAAATAGTTTACATGCAGTTCTTCTAAATCCAGATCTAATTGGCCATTATTTCCCTCTGTTCTGTTCATTTGGCTTTAAAGTCACAGTTATTAAAACACAGTGCATCCTTTTGTTTTGCACTGAAATTCAAGCCCATGTATAATCCACATTCACAAAACTCATTTTTAACACTTTTAATAAAATTAAAAGGAATTTAATTTAAATATAAATAAAAGGGTGTTAAAGTGGAAAGGAGCATACACTCTGTGAAGGCTGTATTAATTTGAACCCTAAAACTCCACACAGACTGACTCAGCACACACACTTCAGTAACCTCTAATGTTTTTGTTTTTCCTCGTGGGTGGTAAGAGTTAATGTCAGATGGAATTATGACACCAGTCGATCACTCGACATGAATGTGCTGGTTTTGGTAATGTGTTATAGCATAAGTGTTTGAGCTAGCACTTCCCAGAAATGAAAAATAGAAATATGCTAAATCAGTGTGGTCATGTTAAAAATCACTTATTGTTTTGGCCAACAATAATATTTTGTGTGTCTCTGGTGTTTGTTTTATACATAATTAAAAATAAGCAGTCAGAATGATGACTTTGTCAGGATATTTCCACAGAGAGATTATAAATTTGGTATTGACTTGATTTTTATTTTTATTTTATTTTAGGGAGTTTTTGATGTACCTGCAGCGCTACAAGTCTTTCTTTGCAGCATTGCCGGAGATGATGTGTGAAGTGGAGAACGTAGTTGACGATGCCACCTGCTGGAGCGGAGAGGATGTAGTGCAGAGGTAAGAAAAGAGTGCCTTCTGTCCTTCAAATCATTTTCTGAAAAGAAAGAAAACCTGTTTTTAATATAAGGTGTATGAATGAATACAATGTAGCTGGACTGAGACATATTTGTATTTGAGGAGAATCAACATGCCTCATGGGCCTGAAACTAGTGCAGGACAATGGCAGGTGTGGCCTGACTGTTGTTAGTCGATTTGTAGAGAAGCACGTTTTAAAATTTGTCTTCACACCAAGTGCACTTTGTGTACTGGAAATATTGGGCTCTATAATCTTCATGCCTATCTGGTATATGTATGGTTTCCATCTTGTCCAGATTATTGGTCTGCCAGTGGAGCCTCTTTCTCGTTAGTGCCTTAAGACGCATGTTTTAGATACGTTGGTACTTTTTTTGATTGTGGTTACTTGAAAGTCTGTATCTAATTTCCCCCAAAAGTCTTTCTTAAAAGGCAGCAGAGACCGGGTCCATGATTATGACGTGGATAAATCTCTCCCCTCTGCTGTGGTGACTCAAAACTGGCTCCAGTTAATATGGCAAACTCAGCTCCTGGCACTGCCAATATTGGACTAGACGCAGGAAAACAGCGGTGGAGAGATGCCTTTTCCATGATCCACCCCGGTTGTTTGAAAATCCAGTTTCTCAAGGTCCATTTGCTCGGTTAAGCTGTGCTTTGAAATTTACATGGGTGCATGGGAAGATTTTGGTCTAGAAGATTTTTCTCATATTGCCCAGAACAGATATTTTAGAACCATCAAAATATTGTTATGGCCAGTTTTTTGGTCTTCTCAGATTTTCAAATTTTCCACTGAATCCGTTTTCTATGAAAATATTTTCCTTGACTGTTTTTTTTCTTTTGTCTGTTTTGACTCCTCAGTCATTCCCTGAACTGAGGTCTACCCTCAGACAGAGATGGTTTCACTTCCTTGGGTTAGGAGCAGCGTAGAGAATGCCAGTGTGGTATTGTTGTGGTCCTCATGCCTCACATTCTCACAATTTCTATTTCTGGAGCTTTATATTTGGAAAG